CAGTCGGCTCCAGCACCAGCGCCTCCAACCTACCCGGCAGGCTCGACGCCCTTGCCTACGTCAGCGTTCGGGCACGCCTCGAGCTCCGGCTGCTCCCCCGAGCCTGGCTCCCAGACGCACCAGCAAGCGTCCGCGATCGCCCGGCCACGCGAGACTGGGGCTTGGACGCGGACTTGGTCAGGGTTCCCTCCCGACGCGCCTGCATGTCCATGTCCAGGTTGAGCCACATGGATGACGGACGGTCGTGCTCGCTGTCTGGCTTCGTGCTGATATTTTAGGCTTGCTGCTGCTTCTTGCTCTCGCTCCACTCGTGTCTCTCGCTCTCGTTGTTCATCATCAGCTCGCTCTCCGTGCTCTCGCTCCTGTCGCTCTTCTCGTTGCTCTCTGCTCTCTCTTTGCTCTGCTCCATGTTCTCGCTCGCCTCGCTCACGCTCAGGATCGTTTAAATCTTTGTCGAGATACTCGCCAGGAGACTCCCCGATCTTGCACCTCGGACATCCCCTCGGAACCTCAATGTCAGCTCCATCCGGAACCCCCTTGTCGACGTGTGACGCGGGCACACAAGACACGATCCAAGTGGCATTTTTCTTCGTCATACTTTTCAAGTCGGCTTCCCTTCTCGCTGCTGTTCAGCTCTGAGAACACACAGCGAAAAACCAATCGCAGGCCTCGAGCCAAGGCCAGCGAACCAGCTCGCCTGATGAGGGTCAGCAGCTTGAAGTCCCTTGATCGGGACCTGCCCAGCGCCGGGGTCAGCGCCAGGTTGCCTCCCACGAACAGGGCCCGCGCGTCGTGCCCGCGCTGGCTGCGGGCCAAGCGCTCGACCCCCTGCAGCACGGCTCGGGCCTCCAAGTGGATGATCCCCTCCCGGTACCTCCACTCGTCGGCCATCACGGTGGCCCAGAGGGACCCATGAAGGAGGCGGGCTGGCAGCTCAGGGAAAGTCTTGTCCCGCTCCCACCTCAGCACCTCCGCGTCGGTGGGCTCGGCCCTCGCCCGCGCCACCCCGCCCCCCTGCTCCTCGAGCCCGGCGGCAAGGCGTGGACCCTCGCCGCCTCGGCGCCCAGGCGGAACCGCGCCCGCTCGGGCACCCGCCCAGCGTCGGGGCGACCCTCGGGGGAGACACGAACTGCCTGTTGGACGCCTGGCAGTCCAAGATCAGCCTCTGCTGCGCGCCGTCCTCGACCACGAACACGCCCACGTCGCGCTTCTTGCTGGCGCTCAGCCGCGCCAGCCCTATCCGTCGGAGCCTCTTCACCAGCCCCACGTATACCTTTCGATTGGATCGCAGCACAGGGTCGGTATAGGGCCGCACCGGCCCAGCGTCTCGTCGAGCATGGCCACCTCTCCAGGCGACCTCAGCATGTAGCTCTCATGCCCCTTCAAGAAATTACGGGCCGTATCCGGCAGCAACTAGTCGATGCGCGGCGCCAGCTCGACGTCGCCCGGGATGTCGAGTCGGTCGCGCGCGAAGGAGGCCAGGTTAGCTCGGGTCTCGGCCCCGTAGGGGACGTGACCCCGCAGCAGCTGTGGAAGGGCTCGCTGCGAGGGTTCCGTGCTGCTCGGACGTCTCCAGCCAGCTGCGGCCAGCTGCGCCCGCCGCCGCGCATCGCGCCGCAGCCCAGCGGTCACCAGGCGCGGCTTCGCGCGGCCAGCATCTCGCCAGCGCGCGCTGCGCGTCCAAGTCAAGCTCTCGACGGCGTCATTCGTCAGCCGCTTCACTCGCGGCTTGTCCCGCCCGGTCAGCCCTGCGCCGATCGATGTCAAAATCGAGTTGCTCCACGAGCGGCGCCGGGAAGTGCTGCCCTGCGCCGCCAGCCTCGTCAACCGCGCCTGGGGTCGGCCACCTCCCAGGCCCGTGCCAGGAGCTCACCCTGCCGCGCCAAGGGCGCCCGCTCCGGCAGCGGCGGCGGCGGCCCTCGCCTTAAATAGCCTTGGCCTTTGCCGCCGCGCCCTCGGGGCCGCCCTCGGCTTCCTCCTTCGCTCCGGGCAGCCCGCCCAGCGCCTGCGCCGCGCCCGTCTCCTCGAACTCCTGTCGGGCACCAGCAGCACGACCCCTCGTCGTCGCCAGATGCCGTCCCGCCTCGCCCCTGGCCGCCCTGGTCGCGAACGACCTGCGCTCGGGGCTCTCGACGTCAAACGGGCCCACGACCCCCGTCAGGTAGCGGGCGCTCTCCCAGGAAGCCCGGCCCGGCGCTTGCCCGCTCCTGTGCGCCTCCACGACCGTCGCCAAGCGCCTGGCCACAGACTCCAGAGCCGCGACGCCTCCCAGGTTGAGACCGTCGTAGGTCCTGGCCAGCCACAGCGCCTGCACCAGCGTGGTCAGCTCGTGGTAGGACCGATCCTTCGACGAGATCCCGCGTTCCCTGCAGAAAGACAGCAACCACATCTTCGGGCCCCCTGCGTGCTGGAAAAATCGGCGGCACAGATGGAGGCAAGTGCACGCGCCGCGGAGCCCGCACTGCTCCATGGTCAGCTGCGCGCTTTCCTCCACTGCCTTCCGCCACGTCTTGAACCGAACGCCCGGACGTCCACTCGACGCACAGGGCCCGCGCGTCGCCCTCGACCTCAGCCTCCGGCACGGGCGTCGCCGCGCCCCCGATCATGTCGACTCCGGCGTCGGCCGCGGCGAACTCGGCCCGCAGGTCATCCACCTGGCCCGCGGTGCCGCGCACGGCCCGCTGCGGAGCGCCGTGCCTGCCCACCGCCTCACGCGCCGCCCTGCGCCACTCCTCGACGTCGTCCGTCGTCACCCTCTCGCGCAGCACGCGGACGCCGTCGTCGAGCAACACCGCGGCCCGGCAGCCGCCCAGGCTCTCGGCTCGCCCCCCGACGACGGGGTCGCCAAGCTGCATGCCGTTGGGGGCCCGCGCCTCCGCCACCGCGTTGACGCCGTCCTCGAGCGTGGCCCCGCCGCGGCCGTCAGGGGCCGCCGCCGGCGGCGCAGGCACCAGAGCGCCTGCCTCGCCGCCAGCCCCCCCGGCACCGCCGTCCGCCGTGCCTCCCAGCGCGGGCTGCGCGGCGAGCTCGTCGCCGCTCGCCTCGGCCAGCCGCTGCTTGGAGATCACCCCCTTGTTGGCCAGCCGCTGTCCTCGACGACCAGCTCGCGCCCGCGCCAGTCTAGGAAGGCGGTCGGTTCCTCGCCCAGCCGCCCGCCAAGGCGCTCCGGCAGCCGACGCCTGGCCCGGCACTTCAACGCCTCGTCTCGGCCCTCGAGCACCTTCGCCAGCACCTCGTTCGCCGTCAGCGGGGTCCTGAACCTCGCGGCTCCGCCCCGCAGCCCTGGCGACCACCCTTCGGTCAGGTCGTAGATCCAGGTCCAATCTCGCACACGCTCGACATGCAAATCATCATCGGCGGTGAGGATCACCCAACTCTCGTAGTCGAAGTGGGTGGGCCACAAGAGTACTCGTTCGTGGGAGTAGGTGTCCCCCTCGAATCGGACGAGCACCCTCCGCCCTGGCATGCGGTCCGCCCGACTAGTCATGATGCTCGCGCAGCCCTCGCCCCCGAGCTCCTTGCGGCGACAGCGTCCACGCGCCCGGCCCAACAGCCAGCAGGCCGCGCGCAGGGCCGCCGTCAGACCAAGCGCCGCCTCCTCACCCTCACTCCGCTCAGCGCGCACTGCCGCCACCTCGACGCCGAGGTCCGGGCAGGCGGGCAGCTCCGGGCACTTCGAAGGCCCTGGCGAAGGGCAGCCCGGCCGCGGGGGGCAAGGAGGGCAGGGGGCCGCTGTCTCCCGCGCGAGCAGCAGCCTGGCCGCCTCAGCGCCGGCGCCGCGCATCGCCTCGCGCAGGAGCCCGACGGTCACAGGTGCCCAGTCCCCTAGGACCATAGCATCGCCAAAAGCTTGAGCGCAAACGATCACAGACCATTGCAATCACGACAGTCGCCTGCGAGGAGACAGCAATCCCGCGGCACCCACAATCATGATGATCATGATGATGATGATGATGATGATGATGATGAGCCCGACCCCTCCCCAGGCGCGGCCAGACAACACTATTCTCTGTTCTTTACATCCAGATCGTATCTCTCGGACGGCGCAGCGGTTGACTTCACAAACGGCGAAACCGATCGCCCCCCCTTTGAATTGAAATTGTGGCGGAGGCCACGCCAAGCGGGGAGGGGGCGGGGGGGGCTTGAGCGAATTCGGTCGGAGCCCAAAAAGGGCCGCGGAAGGACAGACGGGCGCCAGCGTTTCAAGAACATGCTCAGCCCGACCCCTCCCCAGGCGCGGCCAGATAGCACTATTCTCTGTTCTTTACATCCAGATCGTATCTCTCGGACGGCGCAGCGGTTGACTTCGCAAACGGCGGAACCGATCGTCCCCGAATCAGCCCGACTTGGCCCCTGGCCCATGTCAACACACCAGGCGGGTTAAATTGTCAGTCTGATTTCTGTCGGCGGCACCCTTTAGGTACATGCTGAGACGAGAGGCCAGCGAAGCCCTGAAGAAAACGAAGGGCGACTTACTAGGAGCAGACGCACGGCGGCGGCGACAGAAGAAATCGTTACTAACAAAAGGCCCACCCGAGGCCGTTAAAATGTCGAACGGACCGCGGCGCCCCGACGCCGAAAAAAAACACACGGGGACACTCTGGAGGTCCAAACGCCACGGGCCCGACACCAAAAACCGAGATAATCCTGAACTGACTCTAGTTGCTCCTTGCAGGGACATATTACAATCGCTGGACACCCAGCGGAAAAAGGCAGCATTAGCAATCTTAAGAAGGTTGTGAATACACTGGGCACTAGTTGCACGGAGCTGGTAACTACTGTCCCCCGTGTGATCAGCACTCAAATTGGGAAGCGTCACAACAACGCCGCGCACGGCACAAGAACCGACCCACCCTATGAGCATCTTTCGGACGGCCGAGAGATCACACATGGAGGCGTTGGCACACAGTGCGCCGTGCTCACTGGACTCACAAAGGTATCGGCGCACTTCACCTTTCGAGAATCCAACTTCGAGGAAAACTTGACTCTTTTGTTCACACCCGAATTTGAGGCCTTGGCGCAGCTGGCGCGCAAGGCCCCGAGCACACTCTGCGGCAACAAGGCGGGAGCCTGCAGGACGTCGCTCCCGCCGAGCAGGCTGCCCAGCCGCGCGTGGATCGTCTCGCTCCAGTCGACCACGGCCTGCGGCACCCTGTTCAGCAGGGAGAGGTAGCGGACGTGCTTGGCGTAGCGCAAGCTGCTGCGCGGGCTGCCGTGCCGCAGCCGCTCGGTGATCCCGCTGAGTGGGAGCTGGTCCACGGCCGCCGCGTGACTCGCGGCCCCGTGGCGCACCTGGTAGGCGACCGCCGCGGGCGCCTCGGGCAGCGCGGCCAGCCGCTCCTCGAACCGCTTGGTGAACCAAGCCCCGTCGAACGACCAGAGCTGGCAGCTGGGGCCCCGAGCCCTTCGGAGGCGCCGCAGGGCCGCGCCGCCGCCGCCGCTCCAGCAGGCCTCGCGCAAGATCACGCCCTCGTCGGCGCCCATGACCTTGCTCCTCGCCTCCTCCTCGCCGGGGTAGAGGAGAAGGGCCCACGCGGGCTTCACCGCCCTGCCAGGCCCGATCAAGGTCTTGGGCGTCATGCTCACCAGGTCGAACGGCAAGCGCAGCATGCCGTCCCAGGCCAGCCACAGCGCCGTCGCGAACTCCAGGTCCTCCAGCAGCAGGCTGACCCCGACCACTGCCAGCACCCAAGGCCGGCGCAGAGGGTCTCGAGTCCCTCCTCGGACGCGACGGCGGAACCCCGCCACGGCTGCCCGAGCTACAGGAAAGTTGCCGTGGCGAGCCGTCCCCAAGCTGGGTCGCAGGCACTGCAGGACCTCCATCCCGTCGAAGAACAGGACGTCCATGTAGTTGGCGGCCAGCTGGTCGAGGCGCCGAGTGGAGATCTCCGCCAGAGTCCCCTCGTTGGCCCACTCTAGGAAGCTCTGCACCCGCTCTCGGAAGGCGGTGCGCGTGGGCGGCTTGACCTTGTTGGTCTGCAAGAAGGTGAGCCCAGGCTCGACGTCCCCCCGCGCGTCGCCGTGGCGGGCCGTCCTGGCACTCGCCCGCTGTCATCTCAAGATCTCGGCTCGAGTCACAGGCCGACCCGCTCGACTACGTGTCGCTGCTGGAGGAGCTGTCGGAGCTGAGGCTGAGGCGGTGCTCGACCCCGTTGGCGTCTCCCAGCGGGCCCTCCTGTCGGCTGGGCGGCACTCTCGGCGGCGAAGTCCCGCCCGGGCTGCTCGCGCTCCTCAACCTCGCCGAGGAAGCGCGTGCCGCCCGCGCCCCGCCAGGTGGCTGCCTCGCCGCAAGCGCGGGCGAGGGCCGAGGCAGCAAGGCCCCGCGCCTCGTCGGCCCAGAGCTGGCCAGCATGGCGGCAGTCACCTTCGTGGGAGCTGAGCGATCGCCCGATGGCGCGGCTCCCCTTGTCCGCCGAGTTAAGCTCACTTGGGAACCAGCGCACGGCTACGGAGGATCCTGTCAAGATGCTCAAGGCCGCCAACTCTCTGCACGTCTGATTTAAAACAGAATGTGAAGACCTTCCCTTGTCCAATGCAAGTGTCAAACTCAGGTTGTCGCATAAGCTCAGGATGATATGACCAAGAGCTCCTGCCCGCCGAAGCCGATGTCTCACGCCCGTGATCAGCGCGCGGCCCTCTAGACGCATGATGTCCTCAGGGCGCCGCCAGCGCCCGAGCACCTTCAGCTTCCAGGAGTCCAGCGGCAGCAAGAAGCTCGGGTCGATCTCCTCGAAATTCACCTAGTGCTCGACCGATGTTGACGCACACCGAGCAGGCTGGGCAGCACTCGACGTCCGAGTTGACCCCTCGCTCTCGAAGGGCAAGACCGTGTCTGACGTCTCAGGATCCTCGACAAGGCCTGTCACGCCCGTCGGCCCCCTGGCATCGTCAGCTCGTTCAAGATCACGCGCAGCCTGGAGGGCATGTCGCCGAGCCTCGATGGCCTCCTCGCACTTGTACCGCCAACGCTCCATACAAGAGGCCGCGGCCCACACGTCGTGCTGAGTCCAGGTCTTCTCCGTCACGGCATAGCCTCCAAACCCCGTGGCCTCCAGGTCTCCTGAGCCAGTGGAGGCGTCCGTAGCTAGCACCGCGGGGTCCACCTCCAGCTTGGTGTCCAGGTATGCAAAGGCGATAAGAGCTGCTGCCACGCGGCACTCAGTGGCCACCTCGGGCCAAAGACGCCAGCGCCGCGGCCCTGCAGCCCGAGCGAAGCGATAGGCACTGTGGAGGACGCTCAGCAAGCAGCGCCGCAAGATGGCGGCCCACGTGTAGTGGCCGAGGGGCGATAGCATGTCGTCGCCGCTGCAGTAGCCGCGCTCGGCGACCTCCAGCAGCGCCAAGCGCAGCCTCCAGACGCGGCCCTTGCTCACGGAGATGCGGCCCGTCTCGAAATCGAAGTTCAAGCCCGTGAACTTCTGATCCCACGGGTCCGAGTGCACCCCCTTGCACTTCAGATGGCTGGCCTCCAGACGCTGGTGGACCTGCTCAATCGTCGCGCTCACGGACGCAGGGTCGCACCCGATGGCGGCCACGCCGTCGACGTACACGGCGACGCCCGCGGTCTCGCTCACGTCGGGCACCACGCACCTGTCCTGAATGATGCGGCTCGCGCTGATGCCAGCCGCAACGACCTGCGAGACCACCGGCGCTTGGCAGAAGTACAAGCTCCAACTCCAGCCCATGGGAAGGACTGCGAGCAGGGGCGAGACCTTGCCCCCCAGCCGAGAGCCGATGTCCACCTCGGGCAGCGCCTCCAGCAACGCGTCCACGGGCACCGCGGGCAGCACGAACATCTCGTCCAGCCCAGGCGGCACCCCGATGCGATAGAAGGCCGCCTCGATGCCCACCTGACTCAGCGAGAGGTTGTGGCTGGCTGGGATCTTCAGGCCCCGCCAGACGCCAGCCGACGGCAGCGCGGTCGTGTCGAGGTCGATGAACTCCTGGTTGACGGCCCTCGTGTCGAGGATCATCCTCAGCTGGTCCCCCGACTTCTCGACAAAGAACAAGCCCGCCGTAGAAGGGCGTGGGGAAGAAAAACGAATCATACCTGCCTTGTGCATTTCACTCAAGGAGCGAGCGCAGTGGCGTGGAGACCGCCGCAGCTTCTCATCAAAGTACGGAACGACTGGGTCACGCACCAGTTCGGGATCGCGTAGCAGTCGCTGACGCCAATCGTGCCACAACTCGCGAGGGTGACCGTCCAGCAGCTCGGAAGCGTCGCACTTCACGGCGTCGCTGGGGAGACTCACACGACCTTCGGTGTACACGATGAACTTCACGGGCTGACAGTCATAGCCCGGTGTACTTCGGCACAGCTCCGAGAGGGCCGCCGCCGCAGTGCAAGGGGGCCCATCCAGGGCCTGAATTCTAGCACTCATTTGCTCGATGCCTTGGCGTTGGCCCAAGGAGAGAGACTCGAAGTTGCTCGACACATCCCGCCCGTATAGCCAATTTAGACCATGTAGAGCTTCACGTGCCCAGCGAGAAGAATAGAAATATTGGCGAGTACGGCTTCTCCGGTGTCGAGTCGAGGAGTGGAAGCCGTTGAAGTCTTCCTCGACCCGCAAAGCCACGGGGACTGGGAACAGCTCCCGCGGCGCAGCCATCACTGAGACTCACTTGCCATCCGCGGCCGCAGCCGCTCCTGATTTGCCTTCCCCCTTCGGGTCAATGGCCGCCAACTTCTCCTTCAAAAACTTATTCTCGCTCGCCAGCTTGTCGGCGCGGCTCTGCAGGCCCGCTGAGTTGTCGTGGCCTCCGCTGCCGCCTGCGCCGCCGCGCCGAGCTGTCGATCTCTCCTCTCGTACTTTGCGTCCCTCCTTGAGGACACTCGCCTTCTTGTGCAGCTCATCTGCCACGTAGCTCGAGAGGGCGGGCGAGATCATCATGAGACCGCGGGTCTCCGACGTGCCGTGGTAGATGTGCTCATCCTCGGCCAGATCATCGCCCGCCGCCCCCATGCGGTGGAGATACCTGCCCCTGTACTTGTACTCAATCATCTGCGCCTTCCTGCAGATCAGCTCGAAGATCGCTAGCTCTGACACGTTCAGCTGGTCAAACTGAATGCCGATCTGCAGCAGGCGCAGACAGAACTCGTGAAAGTCGACCCCTGGATCTGAAGACGACAGCCCCGCCTCTGCCTTGAATCGAGCGTGGCGGGAACGAGGCGCTACATCCTGGTCCCGAATGAAGCGACACACCCAACCAGCGGTCCTCGGCCCCAGCAGGGGCCATGACGGCCAGGCGGTCTCCGTGAGCTGCTTCACGCCCTCGCGGAACCCCAGGTGACGACCGTCCCCTGCGCTCTCGTGGGTCGCCAGCACCCGCGCGTCGAGGGCCGTCTCTGGGCTCCCGTACTGCACGAGAAAGCTGTTGTTGCCGACCTTCACGAAGCCACGGCCCTCGCCGATCACACCGAAGTCCACCGACAGGCTAGGCAGCTTGGCCGAGCTGCTCTGGTCACTTCCCGCCAGGATATACCACCCCTTGCTGTCTGGATCGGGCAGGTTGGACACGCTCTCCCAGTCAGGCGGAATCGGAGCTGAATCCGAGTCCAAGCCCGCCTCCTTGGGCGTTGCTGGGCGTCTCAGCGTCGTCTCCACCCCGGCGAAGGACCGTGCCGACGCGGCCGCCACCGCCTCCAGGAACTCCCGTGGCTCGGGTGTCCAGTCGGCGTCGTGCGACCTCGCGTTGGCGGCTGGGGCCGTGCCAACCACTGACGCGCGGTCCCTCTGCCCTCGGAGGACTCTCACTGCGCCCTGGATCACGTCGGTGTGCAGCACGTGGGGATACATGTCGCCGTCGGGCGTGATCATATACAGGATCTCGCCTCTCTCCTCCGCTCCTGCTGGAGGTGCTGTCCCCGTCACTGTCGTGAACTCGGCGGCGGTGGCGAAACCCACGACGACGCGCGCCTGCCAGCTCCCGCCTGCACGCCACTGCACCTCGATGCGGTCGCCGATCGCCCAGGCCGCAGCAGCAGCCATTGGCGCCGATCAGCACGCCCACGGGCACTCCTCCGATCAGCACGGTCCCGAACGCGACGCGCACGCCGCCGAACACCTGCACGGCAATCGCACAGGAACCCGCCTCTGAGACCACCGCGCTCTCCAGCACACGGTCTGCGAGCCAGGTCGCCGCCCTGAGCGAGGCCTGCACAGCAGCTGACATGGGCCGCCGTGAATTAAGCTTGAGCGAATTTGGTCGGAGCCCAAAAAGGGCCGCGGAAGGACAGACGGGAAGGGGGGGTTCAAGAACATGCTCATGATGATGATGATGGTGATCATGATGATCATGATGATGATGATGATGATGATGATGATGATGATGCTGATGATGATGATGATGATGATGATGCTAATGATGATGATGATGATGATGATGATGATGATGATGATGATGATGATGATGATGATGATGATGGTGATGGTGATGGTGATGATGATGGTGATAATGATGATGATGGTGATAATGATAATGATGATGATGATGATGATGATGATGATGATGATGATGATGATGATGATGATGATGATGATGATGATGATGTGTTGACGATGATGATGGGAAATCATCACCCACATCATCATCATCGACAACATCATCTCACGTTTGTGGGAACAGTCCAATCGGGAAATCGGATCGGCTCGGAACGTGTATCGGATCGGGCCGCATCGCCAGAGGGTCGGGATCGAATCGGATCCGCTGCGCCAGGATGCACACCAGCGACGTGCAAGCATCGGACCGCACTGGATCGCTCGAAACTCGGAATCGAATCGAACCCGGCTGGCCAGAGCCGATATCGAATCGCGTCGATCGGATCTGGGGAAAACTAAGGGTACCGATACCGCTACTCCGCGGACCTCTCCGGGGGCGCCTTCTGACCAGCATTTCGAGGCGAATCCAGCGGTGGCGACGAGGGCCTCCCAGGACGCCGAAGAAGGGGAAAACGGGCTAAGGGTAGCAACATGGGTACCCATTCCCTCCTCTGAGGATCGACATGGAGCCTGGGCTTGTGGCCCGTTGTCGAGAAGCGCAGGTGGGTCCCGCGACGACCGCGCGAGGCTGGCTGTCGCGGGGCGCGGGAGGGGCCCCGAGGAGCTCCCTGGAAGCAGTTTTTGGAGTCCGCTGTCGCAGGGCGCAGGGGGGGCCCCTGCAAGCCCCGCGCGAGCCCCTGGGCGGCGGCGAGCAACGAGTGGCCCTGGGCAAACGTGGCCTCTTTCGGGTCGGGCGAAAGGGGGGGATAGCAAAGGGGGGGTTTGAGAATCAGCTCACGTAGCTGATTTTCCCGGCGCCTCCCGGCGCCGGGAGGCGGCTATGTATCAAGGAATGGGCCCCTCGGCGAGGCCGAAACCAGCTGCATGCAGCAAATTTCGTAACCCCCCCTTTCCCAATCCCCCCCTTTCGCCCGGCCCGACTCTTGCACCCCTGCCCGGGATTGGGAACACTCTGGGCTGAGAGAGAGAGCGCGGACTTCTCGCCGAGCGTTTTCTTAGTCGGCAGCCCAGGGCCAGATCTACGAGCAGCGTGCGGAGAGAAGAGGCTCCAAGAAAACGCCCAGGGTGCAGCCCAGATTCGTGATTCACTTGCGCGAGATCTGGAGCCCATGAAAATTGAGGCGCTTTAGTAAGATGTAAGATGGATGTGGTGCGCGGCCGAGGGGGGGCCATCTGGGGACACCACCAGACGCGTAGGTCGCTGCTGTCGCATCGCCTTCAGCGATCGGGGGGCCTCATTGGGTCCGCATCAAAGGTCACTCCGGCGAAAGGTCACTCTTACTTGTACCCGGGCTTGGCAGGAGAGTCCGTTACCGAATCGATAAGTCGGGTCGGCGATCGGATGAAATCGGGTCGGCGGAAATCGGTAGCCGAGTCGGGAGAAGAATTGCCTGCTCACAATCGAAGGAGGGAGGAGTGTGAGAAGGATGAGCAGCATGAGGATGACGAACTGGCACGCAGCGGTGAACACATCGGGCGCAAAACGGACGTGCATCTGGCCAGCTCAAGTTACAAGTCCAATGATGGGGTCCTGCAGTCTGGGCCCTGAAAGCGCGCCTATGTACAACTCAGGCGGTGATCAACTCAGGTGGTCTTTCGCAGGAGTGACCTTCGGTGCGGGCACAGATGGGTCCCCAGATGAAAAAAACGAAACAGTAGCAGCTGCTTGCGCGCCCAGGTTTGGTCCCCCCGCGGCCCCAAAAAAGCCGCGCACCAAAGGTCACTCTTACCCAGTGTCACTCTTGCGTATAGCCGAACGCAACACTCTGGTGAAATCTGCCGGCCTCCACTTGCTGGGGGTGGGAAGGCATGCGAGATGATTGGCTGCTCCCTCTCTCCCTCCCGCCTCCTCCGGGATTCAAGACCCCGTTGAAGGGGGGGCGGTATCGTGGGAGGGGGGGCCCTACGAGCGCAACAACGCACGAGGGGAGGGCCCTGGGAGCCTTCAAACCCATCCTCCGTGGACGCCAAGATGCCCAAGATGCGGTGTACGACGGCTGCAGAAAGGGACCCAACACACGTGAGAGGCCTCGAGAACACCCAAGATGGCCTCAAGACGACCAAAGAGCTCCCCAAGGCGCCCCACGAAGGCCCCAAGAGGAAGCCCGAGAGGGTCTCGAGAGGCAAGCATCAATGCCCCATGTGTTTGAAACAGCCTCACGTTATCTCCTTTGAAGGGGCCCTGGGACACACACACACACACATAAATACACACAAATAACACTATTCCCCATAGTTTCCCATATGCTCTGGGTTTTTGTCTTCCCCCCCACTTCCCATATTTTCTCATATTTTCTGGGGAGTCGACGATTAATTGTGTCTGTGTGTTGTTTCAACTCCTGATCCTTTTCGGATTGCTGGAAATCTAATGTGGCCCGAGGCCCCCCCCCCAGACCAGCCAAAGAACTCCCAAGAGGCCCCCAAGAAGGCATAGAGAAGGCTTAACAGGGCCCTACGATGGCCCAAGAGGCTCCTTATACTGCAAGCAAGCGAATCTCCAGAGGGCTCTAAGCGGGGCCCAAGAGAGGCCCACGAGAGGCTCAGAAGGGGGAACTCGCAGGCACCCCTGGAGCCCTCCCCCACAAGATGGCTCCCAATTTCTCCCAACATGCCCCCAAGACTTCCCAAGAGGCCTCCAAGAAGCCCCCAGAGAGCCCTCCAGAGAGCCCTCCAGAGCCCCCAGTTTCGAAAAGGCTCCAAGAGGCCGCACCCTAGGCTTCCAAGAAACAGCCAAGCACCCGCCCAACCGACGCGGAGGACGAGGAGGACGAATCAGAAACAAATACACGCAGGCAGAACGTCGGAAAACATGATGGACCCACGAACCCGGAAAGGGATATAGACATGTGGAGCACGGTCACGTTTTCACCTCAAGAAACATCCCACAAGACACCCCGCGAAACATCCCACGAGACACCTCACGAAACATTCCACGAGACACCTCACGAAACATTCCACGCGACACCCCGCGAAACATTCCACGAGACACCCCACGAACAGGCAACCACTCAACCAAAGCACATCGCGGACGAGGACGACGACGGCATTCCACGAGACACCCCACGAAACATTCCACGGGAGTGCGACTGGGTGTGGTCGTGCTGTGGTGTGGTCGTGCTGGGGTGTGGTCGTGCTGAGGAGTGGTCGTGCTGGGGTGTGGTCGTGCTGGGGTGTGGTCGTGCTGGGGGGTGGTCGTGCTGGGGGGTGGTCGTGCTGATGGGGTGGCCGTGCTGGGGGGTGGTCGTGCTGGGGCGTGGTCGTGCTGGGGCGTGGTCGTGCTGGGGTGTGGTCGTGCTGTGGTGAGGTCGCGCTGTGGTGAGGTCGTGCTGGGGTGTGGTCGTGCTGGGGTGTGGTCTTGCTGGGGTGGGGTCGTGCTTGGGTGGGGTCGCGCTGTGGTGAGGTCGTGCTGGGGTGTGGTCGTGCTGGGGTGGGCTCGTGCTGGGGCGGGGTCGTGCTGGGGAGTGGTCGTGCTGGGGCGTGGTCGTGCTGGGGTGTGGTCGTGCTTGGGTGGGGTCGTGCTGGGGTGTGGTCGTGCTGGGGTGTGGTCGTGCTGGGGTGGGCTCGTGCTGGGGTGGGGTCGTGCTGGGGTGTGGTCGTGCTGGGGTGTGGTCGTGCTGCTGGGTGTGGTCGTGCTGTGGTCGTGCTGGGGTGTGGTCGTGCTGGGGCGTGGTCGTGCTGGGGTGGTCGTGCTGGGGTGTGGTCGTGCTGAGGCGGCCCGCACCCTGTGATTTATCGATCGGGATTTCAAAAACAAGCGTTTCGCCTGAGACATCCTCAAATTTTAATCCGCCGGCCTCCTTCGACCTCGATATTTATCAGGGAAAGAATCCGCCGGCCTCCTTCAAGTTGGGCACGGGGGACTATGTTTACATACTAAAAGAGAACCCTGGGCCTGAGCCCTTTCCGGGAACAAAAAAACATCGGACAACACATACGACTTCGGAAGCCACACATATCCTCTCATGAGGGTCGGCGGACTGACGTGAGCCTCTTCAAAAGATGAAACGCTTGATTTAATTCGGGGACACAGGGCGGGAGCGGCGCATGGTGGTGGGCTCGGCGTACCCGCGGTGCCCCCGCGTCCGCGCATTGCTTCGCGGCCATGCACGCCCGCGGCGCCCTCGCATTCCCTTCTCCCTCTGGCCCTGGCCAGGCTCATGCATCGAACTCAAGCTCTTGCAAGCGGAGCTCAGTTCTAGCCAGGCCAGCGGAGTTTGAGGGATCAGCACCTGGCACGGGCTCAGCTGCCACGGGGTGGTCTCGACAGCGCAGTGCCGCCTCCAGCGGCGCCCCTGGGGCGCTCCGCGCCCGGGGGCTTGCGTTGGAGACCGCCCTGGACTACTCGGGGGCCTGCTGAGGCCAGCTGGGGCTGCTCGGGGGTCCTGTTGAAGCCAGCCCGGACTGCCCATCGGTCGGAAGAAGTAGGTAGAAACATGAAGTAGGAAGGCGCTGGAAACAGATTGGGTTTCCGCACGCCTCCTGAAGAGGAAGGAAGAGGGAAAACGACTCGACTCTTGAAGTAGGAAGGCGCTGAAAGTAGATTGGAATCTGGGAATCCAAAAATACCTACTTTCAACGACCGATGGGTACCTGGGGTGGGGGGGGGGCCTGTGCGCAACCCGAAGCCTTACCAGTCTGCACGCGGCTGCCAAGACGGGTGGAGCCACTGGTCTCCCCCCACCCCGGCCTCTGGCCGCCGCGTGGCGAGAACAGCCGCGTCGACGACGCGTTCCGCCACGGAGCTCCCCCTCCCCCCCCCCTCCCCCCTCCTGTTCGCGCCCGTCGTCGCCCAGGGATACCAAAAACTGCCTCCTCCCAGACATGCGATGTTCTGACTCATCGAATTCCGGCACGGGGCCACCCGAATTCTCGTCCTCAGCAGTGCTTTGACGGTCCTGCGGCCTGGCTGAAGGCCCCAAACTGGGACACACAAATAAATACACACAAATAAAAAGATTCCCCATATTTTCCTATATTTTCTGGGTTTTTGTCTTCCCCACCACTTCCCATATTTTCCCATATTTTCTGGGAAATCGACGATTAATTGTGTCTGTGTGTTTTTTTCCCTCCTGGAAAACGACGAAGGACCTCCCAGCCTCATGTTTGCTCAGGACGCGAGCCTGTCGCGGTCCCGGACATGCGACATCCCGAACTGTTCAGGACGGCGTCCCCAGAAGTCCCGACCCTTTCCCCTCCTCCTCCTCCTCCTCCTCCCTCCTCGTCCTCCTGCTCGCGAAGTACCTCCTCCTCCTCCTCCTCCTCCTCCTCCTCCTCCTCCTCCTCCTCCTCCTCCCTCCTCCCTCCTCCCTCCTCCCTCTATAGGGGATCTCCGGAAGCCCCGACCCTTTCCCCAGGGCCGGTTTTTCCTCCCGATTTTCTCCACGCCGACGTCGCCGATGCCCCGCCGGTGCACCTGCGATGCATCGCCGATACGTTGCCGAGGCATCTCCGGCGCGATCCTCCGACCTCATCTACTCGGACTCCATTTCGAAGGCTTCCAGTTTCGGCTGCACGTAAACCGTAAACCCAGAGATCCGATGTCGTGATTTTTTCAATGCGGGATCCCCGGAAGTCTCGACCCATTCCCCAGAACCGGTTTTTCATCCCGAGTCATTTTTGACGGCCCCGAGGCCCAGCGAGAGCCCCCAGGGGTCGAAATTTGAGAAAAACCTCCGTCTTGATTTTTTCAATACGTTGGATCTCTGGAAAGAGGGGCGGCCCCGAGGCCCGGCGAGGGCCCCCCTCGAGGCCGACAGTGGCCCAACACCTCCGCCCTCAGACGCTTTTTTTTTCGACGCGGCCATGCCTCCCCCGCCCGAGCACTTCCCTTGATCGGAGGTGGACAGAACCCCTAACAGTGACACGTCGATTGGTGAATTGTCAATTTTCGGTTCTCGAGAGGGTGCCGTTGCCGTTATTTTCCAAGCTTGCGCCCGCCAGGTTTGGGCCTCAGGTCGTTTTCACTAAATCACGTTTTACTAAAGGGAGGTCTGTCCATCCCCGACTTGAGCAGGGACCGACCGTCCCGGCATTCCAGTAGTCCTACCACGACATGTTCTTGGAACCCAAAAACGTTCCAAGAACAAAAGCAACGTTCTTAGAACACAAACCCGACGTGCTGAAGCAAGACGGTCCCCGCCAGAAATGTTCGAAGAACATTTCGTGGAGACCACAACGGGTTCTCAGAACACTATCCCACCAGCCCTCTGGGCGCAGGTGGTCTAGGGCGTTTCCCTTTCCAACCTCCTGCCTTTCCCTGCTCGGGAGGTTTACCTCCGCCCCCCCTCCCTGCGTTTGGACGGGGGGGGACGGACCCACAGCAGCGTCCAAGGGCTACTGGCGAGCCAGGACGCCTCGCCACTGCGTGCCTCACAGCGTCGTGGCCCGGGGCGGCTCCGGCGGAGGCCGCGCCCCCCGCGTGCTCGCGCCCTCCTGGGCCGAGCGGGCGTGCGCGAAGGCGCCGCGGGCGCTCTTCGCTGGACGCCTCGCGTGAAGTCGGGCGTGTCCCCCCGCAGGGGGGTCTTCGACGAAAAATGAGAAATACCCCAACGCAAACTCCACAGGGGGCTGAAAAAATGCCCCAAAGATTATCCTCATACTATCTTCTGACTACTTTTGAGTATTCCCCCTGTAGAGGGACAGGCCCGACTGAAGCCTCGCGGCGCGAGCGGCCGGGTCCACGACGCGCTCCGCCTCCGAGCTCGCCACCTCTCGGCTGCACGCAGGGGGGTGGCCCCGGCAAACGAGCGCGCTTCACTGCTCCCGCGGGGCAGCTGCTCGCAAATGGCCGGGATCCCCCGCGGGGGGTCCACGACGGATGAGGGCTGAACCTAAGCGGTGTTTTTCGTTCTCGTTTGTCTTCGTCTTCCCTCGTGTTGTCGTCAATCCGTCTTTACCACAGAACGAAGTCGAAACGAACACGGCCCACGACATCGCCAAAAACACCGTTTGGGTCCAGCCCTGCGATAGCTTACATCAGAGCAGGCACTTGCGGGCATGTGCGAGGAGAGGAGGAGGAGGAGGAGGAGGAGGAGGAGGAGGAGGAGGAGGAGTCGACGTAGCCTGAGGGCGAGTCCCGGTGCAACCTACGCACGGAGCGCAAGCCGTGCGGCACCTGTGACCCGCGTGGCGGATGCGTATGTATGGTGTGAGGAGAGGGGCACTATATCTTTCGATTTGTGGTAAATATGAAAAGCGAGTGCCAAGGCCTCAACAGCCTGGAGGCGAGAGATTTCGCAATCCTCCGTGCCGTACTCCGTGGAACTCCCGAGGCCAAGCCAGAGCAAAGGATCCACAGGAAAGACGAGCCGCGACCAGCTGAGGGCGACGTGGTGCCGGAGCGGCATACACTGGAGGTTCTGCGAGATCTCGTCTCGGCCCCCGCACCCAAAAATGCAATCTCGGGAATGCGGCGAGACGTGCATTCTGCAGCTGGTGGTCCAGCCTCCTGAAAGCGTTTTTAGGACAGCCCATCTCCAGCTCGGCCGCACTTGCCGGAGACAAGCTTTCAGAAGGGACCATCTTTCCGCGAGGTTGGGGGGGCGAACGAAGGACCAGGCATCGAGGCGGCGTCCGATTGTCTGGTGAAAACGGTCGGGATACAGTGCAACCGACACCGCAGAGCCGATCACGCGCTGTAGCTTAGGCTTGCGTCCCTCTTCAGCGGCCGCCCGCAGCTCGGCCTGGCCTGTCGCCTTCGTGGCCTCCCACACCCTGAGCGAAAAAGGATAGGAGGAGCGGAACGACCCGTCACGACGACGATGGACGACAGAGGGAGTGGAGACAAGGAAAGAGCGGAAAAACTCGACGATAGCAGTGGGGCGGCTCCAGCACGGCGCACACCACTCCGCATTGGCCCACCGTGGAGCAGAGAGCGCGGGTGTACCGCAGGCACGGTCGGCAGCCTGCTGAAGCGTCTCGAACGCTGGCGCCCAGTCAGCGACCGTGTGGGCACTCATCCTCCAGGCGGACGCGACGCTGAGCGCCAGCACCGACTTCGGGGCTGTCCCGAGCCACTGGCCAAGCGAGTGCAAGTCCTGGAGGGTGAAGGAATTCGGGGGGAGGCGAAACAACTTGTGGAGAGCCAGCGCCTCCCTCGCGACCACTTTGGGTGACATGGGAAAGAACTGTGCCAAGTATCCTGGGGTGCTAATTGCATACATGTTATACTGGATTGAGAGAAGCTGAGGAGCAGCACGGGAGGATGGAAGGTCGAGGGTACGCTGCCACCATTTCGCACCGGCCTGGGACCACTGATGTTCGAGATCGGCGGCGGGCCCGAATTGCACGCCGAGGTATGGAGTGGTCCCTTTGAGATCAAACTGCTGACACGCCGGGAGATGAGTGTCAAGCCAGGAGCGGACGCGAGCAGACAAAGCTGCTGTGCATTCGGTCCAAAGTGGCACTATGCAGCATTTGCTTTCCTGCAGCCTGAGTAGGGCATGCTGGCGGATCTGCTCGAAATGAGTCATGACGGAAGCAAGCGTGCGAAGTTGAGGAAGGACAATGCCAACATCATCGGCGCACCCGCCTACATCTCCTGGGGTGTCCCCTTGAGGTGGATTCTCGACGGCCTCAGAAAGCAACCTGACCACAGGGTCAAAAATCAGCGCCCACACAGACCCCGAAAGGGGACACCCTTGGAGGACTCCGCTACAGAGATAAAACATGAAGTGGAGCTCACCATGGAATCTGCCATAGCCTCGGGGACAAAAGTAGAGGGAGCGGAGGAGGTTGAGATATCCCTGAGGGATGCCATGGCGACGCAGAACCTCGAACAGCCACTGGCGTCCCACGGATGGGAACGCGGCAGCTGTATCAAAAGCTACGAAACATGGCCACTTTTTATCAGCACCGATATCGAGGCTATGGGCGCGAGCACTGGCGTCCATGAAGACTACATTGCGGGCAAAGTTCCGGCCTAAAACGAAGCCGCGCTGGTTATTATGAGTCCTTTTTGCCACAACATCGCGCAGGATAAAGTTGGAGGCGCTGGCAATGATCTTAGAGTCCGAATTCCGGAGCGACAGGGGTCTCACTTTGCTGGCCTGGCGGACGCAGTCGAACAAATCTTCAGGGCGGGACCCCTTGGGAAGAAATGCAAAAACTGAGTCGTTCAAATCAAGTGGAACAGGGTCCCCTCGGAAAAGGTGAAGCATAAGATCGTGCAGCGTGTCCAGCTGCTCAGGGAGGGCGGCCCAAGCTTGATAAGCGAACCCGTCTGGGCCTGGAGCGGTGGCACGAGCTCGTTCGAGGGCCCTGTCCAGGCCGGCGCGAGACGGGATGGGAAGGCTGGCGATGTCAGAACCGTCCGCAGGGAAGTCCAAGCTGTTAAGATAGGTTCGCAGCCTCTCTGGGTCCACATGCCTGCCCTGGAGACCTCTTTCCCAATGAGACGACAGCGCAACGCGAATATCCTCGCTCGAGCGGGCGACCGGACTATCATCTGCATCGCCCGCGAGCGTCTCAGGACGGACACCGCGCAGCACCAAGGAGCTACCTCGTGGCTGCAATAGCTTAGCCTTCCTCTGCAACGAGCGCTGGAGACGACGAGCGGCTTCAGCCGACAGACCGTCTCCAGCCAAAGTCGCCTGCTGGGCTAGCGCGGCAGCGCGGGACTGGCGGCGCGACAGAGCAGCAGCACTAGTGTCTCTGAAAAGTGCTCGAAGCGTTTCAGGTTCAAGGAGGGAGAGGTTCGAGGGGGAGAGGTGGAGAAACCGGGCACCTAGAGCAGTCGTGGCCTTCAAAGTGGCCCCTGTCTTGAAATCTTGCCTCCAGATGGCTCTGGAAATAGCTCTAAGGGTGACCATGCGGGCTTCGAGTGAATTAGGGTCCTGCGAGGTCAGTGGGAGGCCTTGGAGCTCATTGCGGGTCTCCCGGGCGGCTTCCCACATGAACCCTTTAGTGTACTGCCAACGAAGCACGGCTGGAAGATGGCGAATATCGGCGGCGGCAAGCAGTGCGGCGAGTTTCTCGCGATAGCGGGGATCAAGGAAAGTAAAGTCGGGGATCCGGCGCTCAGATTTTGGACCCATGCCCCGGTTCTGAAACGTGAGGGAAATCAACGCATGATCCCTCAAACGAGTATCAGACATCTGGCATGGGTCCACATGTACCTCCATAGCCGCATCAACCTCGAGCATAAATGCCGCTGGCGTTCCCAAGAACACCCGATCCAGAGCGACAGCTGTGAAATGCTGTCGGCAGAAATGCGTCGGAAGATCTGTTGCGACTTCCGTCGCAGCTTGTATGAGCGGGTGCCAAAAGCTGGCCAGCGGTTGTGCGCGCGTGTCCACGGCGAGGCGTGCAGTCGCGGGCTCCGGGTTCTGGTAGCTGAATGGCAGCCCGGAGGACAGGTTGAAGTCCCCAAGCGCCACGAATGTCCTCTGAAGTGGAGCTGCACGGCACCGCGTGAGCAAACCAAGCCAGCTTTCCTGGACAGCGTGCAGTCGGTCCGCCGGCAACTCGTAGTTGTGCACGTTCATGATGGCCATGGAATAGTGCGTCTTAGGGTGTGTGACGTGCAAAACGTGCACCCGGCCAGGAACGAGAACTTCATGAGAAATCTGTGGTGCGTCATCGTTTGGTCTGGCATCTTCGCGTGCAGCAGAATCCACGGAAGGAGAATTGCTACACCACCAGCACCAGGTCTTCCTGTGCTCGAATGGAAAAGCTTGTAGTGGTACGGTGATCCTTGTAAAAGTACTTGAAGCTGCTCGGTCGAACCATGAGCTGCTTGAATCAAAATCGTTGCTCGGTCATGCATGTGAGTGGCAAGCCGTTTGAACTTCGCCCGGCGGCGTCGGACATCCAGGCAAGCCAAACCACGAGCATTCCACGAGACAATGCGGCCGCCATGTTTCACCGGCGACCATTCCCATGGGCACCAGCGGCTGTTAAACACCCCACCCATCGGCGGTGGTGTCCACGGCGTTGGAGAGCTTCTTGAAGGCCTCGGTGATGACAGTCTTGTCAATCTGGTACTGGGTAACCATGGGGCCGTGCCAGATGAACTTCGCGGGGTCGTCCACGCCTTCCACCTGTAGTACCACAAGCGGGACGCCCGCCACCAGGACAATACCCTTGGCGCGGTGGAGCGTGAAGTCGAGGCCGCGGTGCCTCTCCTCGAGGAGCCGATGTGCTCTCTTGGTGTGCAGCTCGAGCCGAACCTGGCGTGGAGCTTTGTCGGGGCCGACAAAGAGCGGGGTTTGGGCGCCTTGCGTGTTCTGCGCCGAGAAGTTGCGCCAGCCGGTAGGCGTCCGGAGTGTCTGCGCCAGCGCGAGCGCCAACGGCTTCGCCACCTGCATCCCCCCCTTGGCGCGGAGGAAGAACCTGCGGCTGGGGACGTTGCCAACCAACTCCACCTGGTCCATCGTGACGTTGGAGTCCGTGATCCACTGCTGGAGGTTGCGGAGGACCTCCGAAGGCGCGATTGCAGACGACGAGCCAATCGAGAACAGCGTCGGGTCTGCCTGGCGTTCCCAGTTGGCCAGCTTGGCAGTATCGAGCACGGGTTCGTCTGCCTCCGCCAGCGCGATGGTGCGCTCGAGGCGGTGCACCACGTCACGAATGCGATCCTGTTCCTTCTCCTGCTCCTCCTGGCGCTTGCGGAGATCACGAACCTGACGCAACTGGTCATCGAGACGGGCATTTGTCTGCCGGACCTGATCGAAGCAGAGCCGCATGTTCTGGCTGAATTCGTTTGGGGC